AAAAAAAAAAAAAAAAAAAAAAAAAAAAAAAAAAAAAAAAGATATATCCTCATTTGTCCAAGTGTTGGTTCAACCATGAGTTCAACCTTTCAACAACCTGACAGTGGGCCTCACTCCACTACAGTAACTCTGGACATGCACAAAAGACAAGGCAACCACACGCACAAAAAAGGACATGCAGCGCAGCAACCGTGTAGTGAAGCACAAGGCAACACAAACAAGGCAACCACACTGCAAGGGACGGCAGGGCGAGCGGACCAGCAGCTCTTCAACCGTGGAGCGAAGCACAAGGCACCCACAACAAGGCAACCAAACAACAAGGCCGGCAAGCAGCAAACATGGAAGGCACGGCCAGCGGAAGGGCAGCAAGGCAGCGGAGCAGCGGAGCAGCGAAGCGCATGGCAACAGCAACAACACGGTCACACATCGCACAGCGAACACATCAACCTGCAAAGAACCACATGCAAAGCAAGCGCGACAGGCAGCAGGGCAGCGGCGGAGCGCAGACAAGGTCGTCCACACATCCAACATGGAGCAAAGCAGCGCATGACCTACTCACATCACGATTGAACCCTGCAGACTGTTGGTTCCCACCACCCACTGAGCAAGGGAGTCACTCCGACGAGCATTCGTCATCACCTACAGGCAACACAGACATCCAAACTGAGCGCCCCCCATAAGAGTGCAGTAGGCACTCCACTCCAAACGAGGAACCACCGACTGTTTGGCACTACTTAAGGGTGCTCAGTTGGGTAAGTAACAATACTTTTTAAAAAAAATAGAGGGAGAACAAAAGAAAAGAAAATTAGAGGACGAACAGACAGCAAGAGGAAAACAAACAGACATGAAATTGATTGTGTGTGTGTGTGCATGTGTGTGATTTGTGTCTAAAGTATGTGTGCATGTGTGTGCACATCTGTGTTTGTGATGTTGTGGCATTTCTGCACTTGTAGTTCAGTATGCTGCGACTCATTGAGCGGCATTACTGGAGCGTGGAGACATATCCACAATTGATGGCTCACATCCACAATTGATGCTCATATCCTTAATTGATGCTCATATCCTTAATTGATGCTCATATCCAGATTTGAAACATGCCCACAACTGAAGCTCAAAACTGTTGCAGTGTTCCGAAAAGCTGTTGTGGATATGTTTCCATCGAGTGGGAGAACAATTGACGCATTGAAGCAAGGTCTAAAATAGCATCATAACAAACCCCCTAGAAAACAGAGCTTTGTAGAAAGTGCTCGAGCAGGACAGAACTGGGAGGGAGACAGAGGACAGAGAAACAGGGATCAAGACAAAGGTGTTTTGAGGGGGCTGAACCCTCGACAGTCTGCAGAATCCCCACGCTTGAGACTTAAAGACATAGTCTACTTCGATCCCTCTCCCCAGTGGGCAGCCAGGCAGGTGACAACATAAGCAGCGAGCAAAAGGAGGCAGCAGTAAAGAGGAGGGTGGGTAAGTGGGTGGGTAGGTAACCTGGGTGGGTAACCTGGGTGGGTAACCGGGTGGGTAACTGGGTGGGTAACTGGGTGGGTGGGTAGCTGGGTGGGTAACTGGGTGGGTAACTGGGTGGGTAACTGGGTGGGTAACTGGGTGGGTGGGTAACTGGGTGGGTAACTGGGTGGGTAACTGGGTGGG